CTCAATATGAATTTACATTTTCTCATTATAAACTTGAAAAGGTGTAGTAAAAAATGGTAACTTCTGTCAACTTCAACATAACCTCCAAATTTTGGTTGTAAATTTTTGCTTATTTTGTATGTAAACACACTTAGCTTACACATGTAAATAACCAAAAATACTTCCAAATTCATTAGAATTCACTTAAACAAGTTAAATACTTTGCAACATGAATTAGCAGAGTGCACTTTTCTTTTGTTTACAATTTGGTTGCCGAACACACTACAGCTGATCGTTTGACACATTTACCAGAATTTACCAGCAAAAAATTCTCGGGCTAAAACTGGAAACTTCGGACAGAGAGAGAACCGTATTTACTCTCTTTTTTGTCCTCTCAATAGTCAGAGAACCGAGTACGGGATCGATTTCCAGTAAAATCTGACTGATTCTGACGTTCTGACTAGTCCGGACTCGTACGCGATCGCAACTACCACTTCGGACTAAAACCTGCAACTTCTGACTGAGAGAGAGAGCAAGTTACTCTCACAAACGTGGTTTGACTTACAGGTTTTTTGGCACCTGGAACGCTTTCCTGCAAAAAAAACCGGCAAATCGTGTATATCGTGAGCACCTGGAACGCAACTATTTTGTAGTTTTGCAGTTGCAAGAAAAAATGTACATAAATATTTGGCGCACAGTTTTTGCTCGAAATTGTAATGAAACATAGAGAAATTGTCTTTTATAGGTCTATTCTGCGCTGATAATAAAAAGTGTGTAACCGGTGAATAAAGTTCCTGTCAATTTTTAAACCCTTTTCGCATTCTGTGCACTATTGTAACCGGTAAGTTTTGTTACCATCTCATAAGCTGGTAACATGCCCCGTGAAATATGCAATGCCAGAATTTGCACAACTCTTCATAGCTGAATATTTTAACTGCATTACCAACGTACCTAGAATCGCGGTGACAAGAACTGGTAACATTTTTTGGTAATAAAATTTTCCGGTTACAAAATCTTCGGTAACGTGCAGAATAGACCTGTTAAGGTCGAATTTACAGTGCTTAGCTAACCACTTGCAATGGTTTTGCTATCGATTTTTATATTCACTGTGCATCAGTTAACAAAAGAACCCTATGTTAAATTTAAATATTTTGTGTAAAAAGATTCACATTTGTTTATAAATATATTTACTGTATATTTTTCGAAGTTGTATAATTTCAGGCGATATGAAATTCCATAGTAACTGTGAATATGAATTCATAGTTAAACTAATGTTAGTAAGTTAACAATAATTTGACTACCCGCTGTGAATTTGGCCCTTAAATAAACTTCTATCGATGTTTCGTAAGTGATTTTTTCTGAATAAAAAATTGTATGGCTCTCGAAATTTGAGATTTTTGAGTTGTGACCCTTTTGTATTTAGTGTGAGATATAAGGTGTTCCAAAATAAGTAAAGTCGGAAATTAGGATTATTCTAAATCGAAAAAATATATCCGTTTTTATTTTATTTCGTAATCCAAACAAATTTATAGTCGGTCAACGCGCTGGAAATTTTCAATGAGGTTGTTCACACTGGCTTGGTTATCAGGTTATCTGGTTAAAAATTATTATTCTTTATGGTGTTTTATTGTTGTAAACTGAATAAAAAATATAACCATATAACCAGATAACCAGGCAAGTGTGAACAACCTCAATGTATTTTATATGGGAAAACAATTGTTTGTACAAATGGTATAGAAGTGGAAATCAATATTTTTCGATCGGAAAATTTAGTTTCTCTTCAAAAGACACAATAATAATACCCAATTGTTTATTTAACAAATTTTCTAACAATTTTTTTATAGGTTCCGTAAAACCCCAAAAAATGCCAAGGGGGACATATAAAAAATCGCTGGTATTAAAAAATTTTTAAATGAACAATT